GATCGCCGCAATCAGCGCGATCCCGGGGAACCCTACCCCTTGGAGCTTCATAGCCTTGAAAGCGGCACGGTGGTCGACATGGTCGAAGGCCTTCTTCAGGTCGAGTTGCGCCGTGATCAGCGTCCGCCGCCATTCTCTGGCCAGCTCTGCCGCTCCGTTCAACATGGAGACTCCGGTGCCCGCGCGGCTACCAGGCATGGGCGCCGTCTGCGCCGATGCGAAAGTCAGCACTGGCAGCGACAGCGTCCAAATCTAGCCAAGCAGCGTGCGCATCGCACGCAAGCCTGCGATAGGTCTGAGCTTGGCCACAGTGGTAGCACCAACCACCGTGGGCGCCAATGTCGCTATCGATCTTGCCCATTCCGCGGGGAACTCTGGCGCCCTCCATCTGCGAGCCAGGCTTGGCCCCAGCTCCACTTCGCACTCGGCTGGCAATTTCAGGACCTCCGCAGCGATGCCACCTGGGCAGCTCTTGCCCCTTTGAGTTTCGACAACGCTCTGTCCAGCGTTGCCCGGGCGACCAACGGGTTGCGCACGCACCCTGCAAGTCTAACGGGTTGCGCACGCACCCTGCAAGTCTAACCACGCACGCATTCAATGTCCCCCCCATCGCCCGCCATGCGCTGCCGCTCGTCCTCCGGTAGCCCGCACGTGTCCGAATCAAACTCCGCGATCATGGACTTCGGGTCCTGGGGCCAAGCGATCTTCGCCCAGTTGCAACGCTTCGCTGGCGAGGCTCTGGGCGCCCTGCCAGCCCCCACGCCCGCCTCGAAGCGTTCCAGATGCTTCTCTCGCCGGAACGCCCGCCTCCGACGGCAGATGCCGCGGTTGATCTTGCGTAGCTCCTGCTTGTTCCCGCCCTTCTCCTCGCGTAGCCGGAGCAGGGCCATCAGCTCGAGGCCCTCAGCCTTCGGGACCTTCTGTGGGTGTTCCGTCGCACTTCCTCTGAGAGCCGTCGCCGCCGTCTCCCGGTCGCGCCACTGCGTCGCGTTCTCCGCCACCGCCTCGGCCCACGTGGAGGCCGGCCCCCAGTTCTTGATGCAACGGGGGCGCTGGGGCTGAATGACGGCACCCGCTCCTTGCTGCTGCCTCCATGTGCAGAATAATAAAATAATATATATAATATATATATATATATATATATTAAATAAAAAAAAAAAAAAAAAAAAAAAAAAAAAAAAAAAAAAAAAAAAAAAAAAAAAAAAAAAAAAAAAAAACGCGGTCCGAAGCGAACCATCTCTGCTCCTGCACCCACGCCGACTCCCTGCGCACAGTACTCGAAGCCATAATGGAATCGATCCGAGCCCTCCTGAGTCGCCCTAGTTGCGGCGCGCGAAGGACTCCGACTTCCCCCGCACCTCCATCCAGACATTCGCCGCGATCATGCCAGTCTCGGCCACGAACGCCTGCGCCGCCTGCGCCCTGGCCTGCTCCCCCGCTGTCAAAACAGCCCGTGGTATCTGTTCTCCAACGTGGAAATAGTCGGTGGTGCCGTTGAGCTGGGCATTGGGACCCCCCCACACAGATCACCTGATGCTTGTGGTACATACGCAGTAAACCTTAGATACCCTGCAAGACCTCGCTGAATTATAGGATTTGTCTCTCCTGCGACGGAGGTGCGCTGAGATGGAGATCGACGCCCCCTTGACCTCCACCGCGACCCAACGACCTCCCCTCCTTGTGTTCGCACATCCCCGGCCAGCCGCCTGTGGGCCAAGACAACTGGGCACGGAAGTCCTCCACAAAGTACCGGCGGGGTTAAGAGCACATGCCCCCCCCCCCCCGCCCCTGTCGACACCCTCCAGATTCGCCAAACTCTCCTGCAACAGCAGAACATCCAAACGATCGAGAGAGAGAGAGAGAACAAAAAAAAAAAAAAAAAAGAGAGAGAGAGAGAGAGAGAGATCTGCTGCAGCCACGGCCCGGACTGCCCGCCAGCCCCGAAACATTCCACGACATAGCCGTTAATGTTTGGGCTGGCCCCCCAAGTCCCCTGTCAACGCGACGTTTGCGCATTCCCGGCAGACGTTTTCTTATTTTCCCTCTGGGCCGCGGCCGCCTTCTCGAGCTTCTGCCGCTTGGCGTCGATGTCCACGGCAAGGGTGTCCGCCTCCTCGACGAACTCGAACAACTCTTCTTCCGACATCTCTGGGTCCGTGGTGACAACGCGCTTCCTCCCTATGCTCCTCCGGATGCCCAGCTCCTGGCGCTCCAACTTCCGCAACTCGGCGACGGCCTCCACGGGGATGCCGCCCTTGCCCACCTGCATGTCCTTTTGTTCCGGCTCCTCCTCCTCGCCCTCGGCGATGATGCGGCGAAGCGCTGCGACCCCGTTGATATCCACCTGCAGTTGCTGCTGGCGCTTGTCGAGGTTCCCTTGGCCGTCTCCAGCTTCTTGGTCTCGACCTCGATCCTCTAGGTCTCGCGCTCGATCCAGCCCTTCTTCTGCTCGAGCTTGGCAGCCGCACTCGTGCTGTCCTTCGCGGCTGTTTTCTGCTTCTCCAGGTCCTTTTCGATGTTCTTGCGGGCCTCGGCAAGAATGGGGTCCGTGCCCAGGGCGGCGAGCGCCTCCTCTAGGATCGTGACCATGGCCGCCGCCTGCTTGCGGGAGTCGCCCAAACACCGCGGTTTCCGGCGGCTTCTGCACGTTCTGGACATGATCAGCACAGCCACGGCAAGTCTGGCGGCTCATCCAATTGCCCATGCCACAACGCAGGCAAAGACACTCGTCCAAGCACCGCCAGCCGGAACAGCGCCGTCCGCGATATCCTCCGCCGCTGATATACTGCCATCCCATCATTCTACAGAGAACCCTACGGCGCAACTGTGAGGGGGCTCCGCGACGGGGCCCGGCGGCGTGTCTGAGTACTAGCTTGAATCTTTATCTTGAGCCTCAAACCCTTTCTCTCTCTCTCTCTTTCTCTCTCTCGTTCTCTCTCTCTCTCTCTATCCCTCTCTCTCTGTCTCTCTCTGTCTCTCTCTCTCTCTCTCTATATATATATATATATAAACATTTACATATATATACACATTATATATATATATATATATATTATTATATATATATATATATATATATATATATATATATATATATATATATCCGTGCACGTAGTTAGTTCAAGTGCGAAGAGTCCACCGAACACATGATAGGTATCCTCCAACCTGGGGGCACTCTGAGCGCCAGACGCAATGGGGAGAACACATTCGAGATGCATGCGAGCAACACGCAGACTGGAGGCCCCCTGGAACATTGATGTCCCCAGAAGATGAATCAAATACATGACCATAAACTTTCGGAGGTCCTCACGGAATTCTCGGACCCGCCTCCCTGGGGCGCAGACCGCGCCACGAGCGGCGCCAGAGGCGCCGCTCCCAAGACATTCGCGCGGACCCCTGAACATTCGTCCGTTATGCACGGCTGGCTCGTGTCGCGACTCCGGCGTTGGTTTCTGCCGCCGCGTGGCTCGTTCGACCTGGAACGATCGGCAGATCTTCGATCGCTGGATCGTCCCAGACTGGCCGAGTCTGGGCCACTGGCGGCGTTCCACCCTGAACGCCCGCGGCGCGGCCGCTGGCGCGTCGACTGGACACGAGCCTACCGTAATTGCTGGTTCGTCGGCTCCCTGCCTCCTCCCTTCCCCCCTCTTATGGGGAAGCCAAAAGGTACCGATAGCTGCTACTCCCCGTCAACAAACAATGGCATAAACACAACATGTCCGAAATCATTGTTTGTTCCCGTAGAAACACGGTGCCCACATCGCTACCCGTCCTGAGCTTCCCCCCTTTCTGGGTTTCCGGGGAAGCCCTCGTCGCCACCGCTGGATTCGCCTCGAAGTCCCGGTCAGAACGCGCCCCGGGAGAGGTCTGGGGGGCAGCGGTATCGGTACCTGTTGGTTTTCCCAGATGCGTCCCCGCTTACCTGCAGGTCCACCAAAGACTGTTCTAAGAACCTTCTGGTTTGCACGACATGTTCTCAGAGCATATCATGCTGAGGCCGTCTTGTTTTGACACATCGGCCTTATACTTATGTTCTACGAACTTTGTTTTCGATCTCAGGACATTATTCGGTTCTAAGACCATCTCGTGGTAGGCCTATAGGAATGCCGGGACGAACGGGCCCTTCTCAAAGAGGGGGGAAGATCGCAGGAGGAAAAGTTACCCATACCGCTACCCTTTGCTCGTTTTCACCCCTGGATAGGTCCGGGGAGTAGCAGCTATCGGTACCTTCTGGCTTCCCCAGAAGAGGGGGGAAGGGAGGAAGCAGGGAGCCGACGAACCAACAATTACGGTAGGCTCGTGTCGAACGCCGCCAGTGGCCCAGACTCGGCCAGTCTGGGACGATCCAGCGATCGAAGATCTGCCGATCGTTCCAGGTCGAACGAGCCACGCGGTGGCAGAAACCAACGCCGGAGTCGTGGCGACACGAGCCAGCCGTGCATAACGGACGAATGTTCAGGGGTCCGCCTTTTGGTCTCCCCAGAGGCGTCCCAAAGCCAGGGGAGGCTAGGCGGAGGAGGAGGGGGAGGCAGAGGAGGGGAGGGGGAGGAGGAGGAGGAGGAGGAGGAGGAGGAGGAGGAGGAGGAGGAGGAGGAGGAGGAGGAGGAGGAGGAGGAGAGGGGAGGGGGAGGGGGAGGGGGAGGGGGAGGGGGAGGGAGGAGGAGGAGGAGGAGGAGGAGGAGGAGGAGGAGGAGGAGGAGAGGAGGAGGAGGAGGAGGAGGAGGAGGAGGAAGGAGGAGGAGGAGGAGGGAGGGAGGAGGAGGGGAGGAGGAGGAGGAGGGAGGAGGAGGAGGAGGAGGGAGGAGGAGGAGGAGGAGGAGGAGGGAGGAGGAGAGGAGGAGGAGGAGGAGGAGGAGGAGGGGGAGGAGGAGGAGGAGAGGAGGAGGAGAGGAGGAGGAGGGGGAGGAGGAGGGGGAGGGGGAGGAGGAGGAGGAGGAGGAGCTTCCTCCTCTGAGCCTCGCCGCTGCTCGACCCTTCGCTCGCCGCGCGGCCCCGCGGGGCCTGCCCGGGAGGTGCGGCTGCGCGGCCCGCGGCCCGCGGTCGCCGCCGCCCACGGCCAGCAGGGCGCCCCTGGCGGGAGGGCGCGGGGCTGCGGGAGTAAGGAGTCCACGAAGGACGTACGCGCCCAGCTATGTGCATGAACACGGCCCCTCGATTCGCGAGACCGGCCGCGTTATACGAACATTTGTGCAATGCGTGCTCTCGAAACCAGCGTGGATTCATGTACATGTACGTCCTTCTTTCGCTCCTGAGGGAGGGCGCGGGGCTGCGCGTGCGGGCACTCGCAGGGGATATGCCGACCCCTATCCCAGGCTTCGTGGGGTGTTCGAGTGGACCAGAAGTCTGGGGCCCGAGCATCGGGATAGACGATAGGGGGGGCGTCCATCCTCGATGTAGGGGTGCGTCCGAACAGCCAGGGTATCCCTCCTTCTCTGAGCGGCCAAAAACTTTTCGGGCGGAGCTCGGGGATGGGAGCAGAAAAACCGCCTGCGAGGCATCGTGCCTGGAGGCCTGGAAACGGGCACCAACACCAGCACAGGGCGTTGCCTCCACAGGGGGGAAGAGCATCCCAGATTTCGGTGCTGGAAGCCAGAATATTGCCACCATCACCGAGATCGGAATGTCCTTCCCGCGGTGGAGGCACACCGCCGATATTGGTGTTGGTGTCAACCTCCAGGCCTGTGACGTTCGGTTGAGCAGGGACCGACCGTCCCGGCAATCCTAATAGGCCTACCACAAATAGTTCTTAGAACCCAGAAGTGTTATGGAAACAACAAGTGTTCTCAGAGCGTAAGCCCGATGCATTGAACCGAGACGGTCTCGGCCAGAAATGTTCTAACAACATGTCGTGCAAAAGGGCCTTAGAACACTATCTGATGGGCCTATAGGCGAGCCAGGCCGCTTCGCCACTGCTTGATTCGGCGAGACGCACAGCCGGACCTGGGCCAGAAGAACATCCGTCAAGAACATCTTGTGAGGAATCCGCCGACCCCTTGGGGTTCATCGGCGTGTGAGATGTTCCCCCTCCCCAAACCCCTCCCCCGGGAGCCCGGTCCGGTCCATTTGGAGGGGGGGGGGGGGGTCCGGCCGGACGGGCCGGAACCCCCCGGAGGTCTCATCCGCTCCCGAAAAACGTGGAAAAACACGTGAAATTCGTGTAGGGACGCGTCTGGTGGCCTCGAAATGGGTTTGGGACGCCCCACGAGCGCTCCAAGACGTCCAAGTTTGCCCGAAGACGGGCCACGAGGCGTCCTCGACGGCAAAAGAGGTCCCCACGAGCTCCCCCGAGGGCCTCCGAGATGCGTTCCACAAGGGTCCCTAGACGCCAAAGTTGGGCCATTCCCATTGTGAAATGCACATTGAAAAAAATTCAGCTTTGGATCTTTCCGATGCTCCCCGACGGCCCAAGAGGCTCCCAAACCCGCTCCCAGACGGCCCCAGAAGCCTCGCAGAGGGTCCCCCACAGACCCCTAGAGGGCCCAAGATGGGCCAACAGGCGTCCAAGACGGCCCAAGAGGGCTCCGAAAACGGCCCCAAGAGCGTTCCAGGAGCGCTCCGAGTTGCCTCCCCGAAGCTCCACATGGTCCCAGACGGTCCAAGAGCGATCAGAAACATCGACGACGACCTCCCGACGGCTCACGAGGCCTCCCCAGACGCCCCCACAGGCATCCAAGATTCCCCCCAAGAGGCCCTCTAGACGCAAAAAATCGTTCGTTTCCTTCGTAAAACGTATATTGTTTTCACACGTGCGCTTTTGGGGGTGACGAAAAACGTGGAAAAAAACACATGAACTTCGTGTAGGGACGCGTCTGGTGGCTTTGAAATGGATTTGGGACGCCCCACGAGCGCTCCAAGACGTCCAAGTTGCCCGAAGACGGGCCACGAGGCGTCCTCGACGGCAGAAGAGGTCCCCACGAGCTCCCCCGAGGGCCTCCGAGATGCGTTCCACAAGGGTCCCTAGACGCCAAAATTGGGCCATTCCCATTGTGAAATGCACATTTAAAACAAAAAAAAAAAAAAAAAAAAAAAAAAAAAAGTTTTGGATCTTTCCGATGCTCCCCGACGGCCCAAGAGGCTCCCAAACCCGTTCCCAGACGGCCCCAGAAGCCTCGCAGAGGGTCCCCCACAGACCCCTAGAGGGCCCAAGATGGGCCAACAGGCGCCCAAGACGGCCCAAAAGGGCTCCGAAAACGGCCCCAAGAGCGTTCCAGGAGCGCTCCGAGTTGCCTCCCCGAAGCTCCACATGGTCCCAGACGGTCCAAGAGCGATCAGAAACATCGACGACGACCTCCCGACGGCTCACGAGGCCTCCCCAGACGCCCCCACAGGCATCCAAGATTCCCCCCAAGAGGCCCTCTAGACGCAAAAAATCGTTTGTTTCCTTCGTAAAACGTATATTGTTTCACACGTGCGCCTTTGAGGATGACCCCCGCTCCTGCACGGCCCCAGAGCCCCCCAAACCCGCTCCCAGACGGTCCAAGACGCCTCCAAGAGGGTCCGTACATAGCCCTCGAGGGCCCCAAGACGCGCAAACACACGTCCAAGACGGCCCAGAAGGGCTCCGAAAACGGCTCCGAGAGCGCTCCAGGAGCGGTCCGAGTGGCCTCGAAGAGAGCTCCACATGGTCCTCGACCGTCCAAGGGCGATCACAAACATCGACGACGGCCTCCAAACGGCTGAAGAGGCCCCCAAGACGGCCCAAGAGGCATCCACAATGCGCCCACAGAGGGCCTCTAGACGCAAAAAACCGCCCGTTCCCTTTGTAAAACGTATATTTTTCTCACACGTGCGCCTTTCGGGGTGCCCCCCGCTCCTGGACGGTCCCAGAGCCCCCCAAACCCGCTCCCAGACGGCCCAAGACGCCTCCAAGAGGGTTCCCCATATAGCCCTAGAGGGCCCCAAGACGGGCCAACAGACGTCCAAGACGGCCCAAAAGGGCTCCGAAAACGGCCCCGACAGCGCTCCAGGAGCGCCCCGAGTGGCCTCGAAGAGAGCTCCACATGGTCCCCGACGGTCCAAGAGCGATCAACAACACTGACGACGACCTCCAGACGGCTACAGAGGCCCTCAAGACGCCCCAAGAGGCATCCACGATGCGCCACAAGAGGGCCTCTAGACGCACAAAAACGCCCGTTCCCTTCGTAAAACGTATATATTTCTCGCACATGCGCCTTTTGGGGTGTTCCCCGCTCCTGGGCGGCCCCAGAGCCCCCCAAGACCGCACCAAGACGGTCCAAGAAGCCTCCACGAGGGCCCCGCGACAGCCCAAGAGGGCGCCAAGACGGGTCTCAAGAGGGGCAGAGGACGGCCCAAGAGAGCCCCGAAGACAACGCGCGCGACTCGCGGTCAGATTCCTCGCAACTTGCGTCGCTTCCCGCCGTGATCGTCACTTGCTTCCGCAGGGCGTTTCGGCGGGTCTCTGACCATGGCCTGAAACGATCGAAGGTCACCCCACGGCCGCCCCTGACGGTTCCAAAAGACACCGCAAAGCAGTTCTGAGGTCACCAAGGGCATACCACAGTCCTCGGCAACAGATGGCGACGGCCAAGACGGCCGAAAAGAACGCACAGAGCGCCCCATGACAGCCCAAGAGAGGCCGATGACAGCCCAAGAGAGCCCCAAGACAGCCCAATACTGCCACAGGACGGCCTAAGGGGCCCCAAGACAACCCAAGAATGCCCCAAGAATGGCCCAGGGGCCTCAGACCACCCAAAGAGGCGACCAGACCACTGCGCGATTCTTCATAAGGGGTCGGCGGATGTGGCGTAAGCCTGAAGAATCACGAACCGCGCCTTTCTTCCACTGGGTTGGTCACGAATACCCACAATACCAAAACCTACCCTCCCCCCAATCATCGATCCTCCTGGATCGATGGGAGGCGGGGGTAGGGTTCGGATCACGTCACGTGCTCGACGACTTGGAAGCCCTACAGTCGGACCTAGGCCAGAAGGACATCCCTCGAGAGCATGAGACCCTCCGTCGGCCAACACAAAGCTGAACATCTGAGGGTGCCCTCCCCAAGGTGTAAGAGAACATCCAACGAGCACGGAGAACATGAGGATTGCAAAAAAAACCGAAGGACTGCAAAAAAAACCAAGGATTGCAAAAACAAACCTCCCCGAACCGAGGATTTCAAAAGGGAGAATGAGAACACGGTCCACGTCGGGTCCGACCCCGACTCCCGACTCCCGGGCGCCCGACTACGGTTGGGCAAGCGTCATGTTCTCTTAACATTGCAATTGATGCACATGCATGATAAGGTGGAGGGGAGGGGGCAACACCAGAACCTTCATCCAACCCACACCCCTACGATTGACAGTGGGAAATCTACTAGACAGGGAGGGGAGGGATATTTTGGGCAGAATTCAATCATGGTTGTGTTTGTGTTTGTGCTTGTGATGTTGCCTTTACACACACGGGTACATAGACATGACCGGGTGCAGATTTCAACCTTACTCTGGATATGCATTGTCTTATGCTTGGTTCCTGGGGTAGGGGCTACAAGTAGCTCGATGGGCGAGCCACTTCAATACTTGCAGGGTCTCAATGATTATTATTTGGATCACATATGTCATCAATTGGTTTACGACCGGATGCAGCTTCCAACCGTACTCTGGATATGCATTTTCTTATGCTTGGTTCCTGGGGTAGGGGCTACAAGTAGCTCGATGGGCGAGCCACTTCAATACTTGCAGGGTCTTTCAATACCTTACTCTTGGTTTCACTATTACCGATTCTGGGTGATTACAATTCTTCTGGTGGTGTGTGTGCGGGTGGCCCTTGGGTGTGGAGGGGCCCGACCTGCGCCACACGGCCCTTGGGACACGAACTTCCAGACCCGGGCCCTCCGAACCCCGAAGGGGTTCCGGAGGGAGGCGAGGAAGATTCGGAAGGCTCGGAAGAGGGGGGCTCGCAAGCGGGAGCCGTACGACGATGCACGAGCGGCCCGACGAGCAATCCAACGACTACGAGCAGTCCCACGAGCAATCCTACGAGCAGTCCTGCGGCTGTGGAGTGCGACCCAGCACAGCACAAGCAGTCCCACGACGACACAGCACAGCACAAGCAGT